GTACGTCCCCAACAAAATACTGAGAATGTACTTCTGGATAAGATTTCCACAGTGCAATTTTATGCATGCTCCCTCAGAAGTAAATTCCACTGTATTCATTGGGGCTTACTCTTAGGAAAGTGTGCACAAGCTTGCAGCTTTGTTTTTCCAGTTAAGTTCTTCGTTTGATGTAGTGTTAATACAGGAACAAAATACATTTGCTACTCAATGTTTGTAACAGATCTGAGATCTGTCAACTGATTAAAGAATTCTTAGTGAATCAGTAAGCTGATTTTAACAATTATTAATTTGTGACCTTCTAAAAATTTATAGCCAAACTAAAAATTAATATATTACCGAAACTGTTCATGGAAAGTGATAAATACTTTACTTTTGCAGGAGAATATTAAAAATCAAGCAGCATTTGTTTCCATTAGTTGCACACAAGTTGAACTGTTAAAATGTTCTCTTGTTGAACTGGTATTGTGTTACCAGAATCTAATCCATTAGATACATACAGGCTTAACATTTCCAGTTCCGCAGTTTGAAGGATCAGACCTGAGACCAGTCTTGGCTTACTGAACAGTTTAAACAAGCCCTCCAAACCAAGATGGCAAACCACAGTTTGTTCCTGGTTTAGAGGACTCACGGAAAGCAGACTTTACAGGTTCTGGTGTAACTGTAAACTATGGTTTGATTAAATCCTTAAATTATAAATTAAGGGGAATAAGTGATGGGAGGAGACAGCACACAAACACAGGGTTTGTTTCTTGTCCTCCTAACCACAGCTGAATGATCTCCAGGAATTTTGTTTGATCTTGCCCCCCCCCCCCCTTTGTGTTGAATGTGCTGATTAATTGAGTGGTGGGGTGGATTTTCATCTGGTATTAAAAGTCTTGTTGATTTTAATCAGTGAACTCCTTCAGCCTTCCTGGCTTAGTGAAATGCACAAGTATGAGGGCTCCCAGAATGCAGTTTTCAGCCACTTTGCTCCTCTCTGGACTTTTTTATTGTTGCACTTTGCTGAGCTAATCCAAGGTTTGGCTTAATATGTCTCCTGAACCTGGGACTTGTGGTTAAGCGCTTGCCTCTCAAGAAAAAACTTGGCTGCAGCTCATGATTAGCAAGCCAGAGACCTTAGCCAAACCATGGCTTGGCTCAACATGACATGGGAACCTGAAAGGAGCAGAGAGGAGCAGAACCAGAGGGGTGCGGTTGAAAAGGAGATGTGCCCTGGGGAGAGTCTCAGGGGCCAGAGGAAGAGGCTTGGAGGGCCACATTCAGACCCCAGGCCTAAGATTTGCCACCCTTCATTTAAGCATCAAAAGAGGTTGTAATCAGCCCATCCCGAAATATTTCGGCTTCAGTCCTGCACAGACCTGGGCTTTCTTTTAAAAAAATCTATTCAGTGGGACCTAAGTCCATATAATTGTGCAACAGGATAACACCTTTTCCCCAGGAGTTAGCTGACAGACAGTTTCTTTTTTACTCCTTTGGTTTAGCCTTGTTTTAAACGGTTATAAATGCAGATAGGATACCTCCAGATACCATATTGTCTTACATTCAATGTAACCAAAAGACTTTATAATCTGAACAAAAAAAGAGAGACATTGCACATTCTTTCGTAATTCATGAAAATATTTAATAAAAATTATTATTAAAAAAATAATAAATGTAGATATGAGATAAATGTCCTATTTGCAAATTTTTGTTCCAATGGAGCAGAGTCCTTTGCCCATGTGAAAACACCTCAAGCTTGAATTTCTCTGGAAGGGCGAGTTTTGCCTATTAGTAAGTTGAGTCAGACTGTCCAGTATTGAATCCCTGCTGTACTGATGATCAGGCTGCAGCTGTAGTCTTCCTTTTCAGTACAAAGCCCAGTCTGTGCTCATAAATATGGGCAGGGATAAGCAGAGCATAGATTAGGATCTGCTGGAAAATAGCTGGGTGATCTGCAGTACAATAACAACAAGAGGTTCTCCTCTTACATTTTAAGACATTGTTATTTCAGTGTTCTTTTTTCCTGGGTGGTAACCATCTGGCCTGTTCCTGACATGATGATCCTGGCTTCTTAAACCGTGGTTGGGAATTAATAGGTGCCTATGCACTCCCCTTTTGCTTACTGGCTTTAGTGGTGGGATCCTTGCTCAAACTTCATTTCCTCATTGCATTAAAACCAGGGATCTGTGGTTTAATGGTGGCTTACCAGGATAAAAGATCCCTTTAGGTGAATCAACATTAAACCATAGTTTTGGGTATCAAGACTTAATCGAGAAGAGCAGTTAAAAGAGACATGGATCTAAATGCTGAAGGTGATAAGAGGTAAGTGAATGACCTTCATAAACCATGGTGCAACCCAGTATGGCCTGGTTGACACCACATTCTAAACCATAGCTTTGTGCGTATGCGCTATGCACAGGCACAAATGAGCCACAGTGACTCCTGGGTTTACTCTCCTTTCCCCTCTCCTCCCACAGACATACAAGGGGAACAGTTCAGAATTTTTTCTGCTTTTGGTTAACTGCAGTTTGTTGTGTTGTTTTGTTTGACAAATTGTGCTTAACATTTACTGTGGCTAGTTTAAAACAAGCCAGTTTCAAACCATGGTTTCTGAAGCAAGCTTTTGAAAATTAACCAATCTAATGTTAATCACAGTTCTGGGTCCCATTGTCACGGCAAGCTGGGTTTCACCAAAAGTATGTGCATCTGAATTTTCTGGAGGCCCCCTGTGACTTATTCCTGCTCATGCACATTTTGCTAAATAATGAACACATGAAGACAGATTGTCTGGATTTGTTGCTCTTTGGTTTTGCTCCTTTCTTGTGCTTTGCTGATCAGCATTTTATTTGTAATGATTATATCTATCATCTCTCTGTGATTACTTTTGATTATTGGGTGCTTTATAAAGTTCTTTTTCAGCAGAAGAGTGGGGCAAAAATATTTTTAAAGAAACAAATATGCGGCTAGAAACCAGAAGTAAAATGCTTTTATACTATGCGCCTGCCCTGAATAGTAAAGATTACATGATATAATAAAGTGCAAAATAAGTGAGGTTGGGCAAAGTTGCCTACATCACATCATATGGATCAGGCCAGTGGCCCACCTAGTCCAGCATCCTGTTCTCAAAGTGACCAGCCAGATGCCTCTGGTAAGCCCGCGCGAGCCTTACTTCTCCGGATCCATCACCATCCACTTCTCAGCCCAGGTAGATATTCTCCCAAACCACCTTGCAGTTAAAAATCTGAACAATCATAAAGTTCCAAGAGAGAGTCTTCAGGTCCCTGACAGGTGGAGCTGATCTTCTCATCAAGAAGTCCCTGATAAGATTCCGAAGGACCTCAAGATGCCACAGAAAGCAGTTTTAGAACTTAAGAAAAGCCCTGCTAAATCAGGCCAACCAGACTTCCCCCTCCTGTGGTTTCCGGCAGCTGATGAGAAGAGGCATACTCCCTCTGACAGTGTAGGTAGAACATAGATGTCATGGCAAGTAGCCATTGGTAGCATTAGGTTTCTCTTGGCAGAGAAGTTGGATTGGCTGGATACACACAAGTTTGGCTACAAAGGAAGCAGAATACAGGAATGAGTCTGAGACTATAGTGATTTCTTTCCAAGCTTGCAGATCTCTTTGTACTACCTTGGCATGTGGTGGCAGTTCTGTGGTATTTTCATGGAAGGAGCTATATTACGCAACACAAGACGTGCCAGTCTCTGTGGCTGACCTGAAAATGGTGAAGGGAGAGGCAAGTTTAATAATAATAATAATAATAATAATAATAATTCAGTATGAATATTGAATACAGTCAGGCCAAGGACCAGCTGAATGAAGCTCCAAGACCACCGTGTGGTCCATGGGCCACAGCTTAGGAACCCCTGATCTAGGCAAGACTCAAGAAGCTCAAGCTTTCCTATTGCCCCTGGTGGGTAGGGGGGAGAGTAGAGGATTGTATTTCTGAAATACGTTGGGCTTTTTAAAAACTGAGGTGCTTCTGAGAGCATTGCCTCTCTCCTGTTGCCTACTAATCACAAAGAAAGGTGAAGGGCATAGCTTAGGATCAGTCAGGCCACTGCTTTCCTGAAGCAGATGCCTCCTGTGGTTTTTGCAGAGTTCGGAATCCAGCCTCAAGAAGAAGGTGATGAAGAAGAAAGGCAAGATGGAGAGTCCCTGGCTGAAACCCACCCGGAAGAGGAGGCGGAGGAGTAAAAAGAAACAAGCTGGTGCATTGGGTAACAGGATCAAATGTGTCTTATTTTCTATCCCTTCACCCCAGTAGTTTTTGTTCAGTGGAGACTGAGGCCCCAGTCATACTATACATTTAAAGTTGCATCATGCCACTTTAAGCAGCCATGGCTTCTCCCCCAAAATATTCCTTTGAACTGCAGTTTATTAAGGGCGCTGGGAGTTGTTAGGAGACTCCCTATTCCCACCGAAGAGCAGTTTTAACAATCCATTCCTTTTCCCAGGTAGCTAGGAATTGTAGCTCTGTGATGGGAACAACTCTCTGCCCCCTTAACAAACTACAACTCCCGGGATTCTTTGTGGGAAGCCATGGCTGTTTAAAGTGATGTGATGTGGCTATAAATGTATAGCACAGATGGGGGCTGAGCAAGTTCTTTCCTCCTCCATTTCCTTTGCAAGGGGAGCACAAGCAGATTGGCTTAGGATAGGGGATCCAAAACTGAGACCACAGAGCCATCATGAGGAATACCACCTGACTCCTCAGTTTCCAGCCAAGATGCAAGAGTAGTAATGTTCAGAAGGAGATGAGATAAGACTCAGCCCTTCCCATTTGCCATTTCTCCCGTCCCCAAAACTTCAAAGGTGGCTTTTTAAGCAAAGTAGTAGCTGCTCTGGGACTTGCGCTTAGGAGCCAGGGGGTCTACTCTTTCATTCTTTTTAAGGAACATAGAAAACTGCCTTGTACTGAGTCAGACCAATGGTCCATCAACCTTGGTATTGTTGCCTACATAGACTGGCAGTGGCCGTACAGAATTTGATGCAGGGAGTGTTTCCCAGTCCTAACTAGACACGCCAGGGATTGAACCTGGAACCTTCTGTGTGCAAAGCAGAAGCTGTTCCACTGAGCTAAGGCTTTTGCTTCCCAGACAGTGTTGCTTTGACTTTCCTCTCCTGGGCTGAGAAGGGCAACTGGTGTGTCCGGCAAACCTTTGCTTATAGAGAAATGATTGGAAGAGGTAGTATCCTCCATGGGTGAGGGCAATACTCTTCTCCCAAGAGGCTCAAGATCTTACAGGGCTTAGGGGAAAAGTTCTGCAGGCCCTCCCCAGTCTGTCTCTTATCCTTTCACCAATGCTTGGTAAAAACCACTTTGGTCGTTCAGTATCTGATCGGTGACCCTCAAGTAGCTCAGAGCATTTATTCCCTCCTCATACTGGCTCTTGGACAATGACACAATTTTAGGAGAAAGAAGAGGCTTTAAAAAAACCCCTGCAGGGTTAATGTCTGGCTCTAGGTCTCCTGACTCATAGGCTGGCATTGTGCTTTGTTGGAGGGAGGAGGGCAAAATATTTTGGGGTGAGGAGGGGAGTGTGTGTGTGTGCACTTGTCTCTTGGAAGGAGCAAATAGGAAAAAGAGGCATGAACTAAATCCCTGCTAGAGGTTCTCACATTCGTTTTCATTAGCAAACCCTGCTTTGCTCATTGAGAAGCTGTACAATTGGCTCTTAACACTCCTTTTTTTTTTGCCTTGAGCCAGATGTCTCCTGTCCCCTTCATCTTGTTTTCTACACCATTGGGTCTCTTTTTAAGCATTGCTGAGATCTAAAGTCCTTTTGCATCAGGGTGTGTAGGGTGAGTCAAGGCAAGCCCAGGTCCTTCTCCCTTCCTCTTTCTCATCCACGTTTCTGCTGCTAATGCAGTGCAGCAGCAGACAGATGTGTCTGAAAGGGAGGACCTCTCCTCCTGGTAGCTGGCACCTTTTTTTTCCTCTCCCAAAAAACAGTGCAAGGGTGGGGTGAAATCTGCCTTATTCAGGCAGAGAGAGTAGGAAGAAGGGCTGAAAAGATCAATTGGCCCAGTTGTTGCATTTTAATTATTCTATTAGCATCTGTATTTGCTAGAGATCCATCAGCCTGTAGCCTGCATACAGTCTGCTAGAGATGAATGTGGCCTTTAAGAGAGAGAGGGAGAGAGACACACACATACATGCATAGTTCTTTTCTTTGCTATATAAATATGTGTATATTTTAAACCCAGGTTCGGAAGCCTACAAGTCTTCCTTAGACAGTGGAGAAGGAACTGGGGTGGAGAATAACATGGAGTACATGGAAGTCTCTCTGGATTCCTTGGATCTCCGAGTGAAGGGAATTCTATCTTCGCAATCAGAAGGTGAGTGTCAGCGTTCTAAATATGGCCATGTACCATTTTGGTTCTTTGTTTCCTTGGATTTCATTTCTCTGTATTAAGATGATGCCCCCTGGTGGCTGCCAATATTGAGAATGAGAAGAGGCCAAAAAGGCATATCAATGGATCAAATGGAGAGTGAGACTAGAGCAAAGGAGAGCAGCTAGTAGATCACCTTTGACCCAGCAGTGTGTGTGTGTGTATTTGTGTGGATACTGCAGGAAATAACGCTGATGGGAATATCCTGGGGAGCGTTAAAGCTTTAGAACACTTCTGGGTGCAGTTGTGATCTAAGACAATTTGACTAATCCCTGTGGCTTTGTCCCCTTGGTCGTGTCTTCATTTTCTGCTTTCTATTTTCCCCTTGCCAAGAAAAGAAAAAGAGTTGTTCTCCCCTTCCAGTTTCCTCCAGTGCTGCTCCCTGTTCTCAGGCAAGAGGCATGTGACAAAATTCCAGAAGGGCTCCTTCAGAGAAGTAGAAGGTGGCACACAGCTGAGGCATGCCAGAGGACTGCTTTGTAGAGCAGATGGGAGATTCCTGGCAGTCTGGCTGGGGCGTCACTGAGCCACTGCTCAAGGCAGTCTGGCAATGCAGCCTTTTCATCTGGGCAGGAGCTGTGCCCTTCCCGCATAGTATTGGCTGGGTGCCACCTTTTGCATTTAAGAAGGTCCGTGGCTCTGTGATGCAGCACCTGCTTCTGGAACCAGTGGGCTGGCTCTGTAGGAAGCAGTTTCCTATGTTCCAGAGGGCAGGACCTGGGTCAACAGGCTCAAATTACAAGTTCACAGCTCCAGTAGATAGGAATGCACTTGCTTGTGTCTCACAAAAAGGCCGCAGTGCAGTGCCTCAGTAGAGCATCTGTTTTGCATGCCAAAGGTCCTGGATTCACTTCCCAGCAGGGCTAGGAAGCAGCCCATCTGAATTCCTGGTGAGCTGCTGTCAGTCAGTGTAGACAAAAACAAGATGGACAAAAAGTCAGTCTTACTGGGTTTGTTTGGAGAAGTACAATGATAGTGCAGACCATGCAAGAAGGTTCCCAGTTCAATCCCCAGTACCTCCAGGTTGGGTAGGAAGAGAACCCTGTCTGAAATCCTGGAGAGCTGCTGCCAGTCAGTGTAAACAAGAGGTGGACCCAGGAGTCTGACTTGTTTATAAGGCAGCTTCCTATGTTCATAAGAACTTACGGATGGGTGCAGAATTCCATTTGGACCTTCACCCTTATGTTTCCCATGTTCTTTTGTTGATGATGGTGCTTGTTTGTAACCTGTTCACCCAGTTAGGCTGCCGTAGGCTGAGCAGACTCTTAACGATGCATGCTCCACAATGCTTTTATGCTTAAGAAAAGCAATTCAGAAAAATCTGCCCTCTCCTCTCCTCCCTCCTCCTTCTTCCTGCGGTTGTTACCTCTGGAGAGAAGCTTGATGAGACAAATAACATTGATTTCAAGAGGGGTGCTTGCGCCAACACTACGACCAGTACATTGATTTCAAGTGGCAGCTGTTGAAAACCTGATGCAGGAAATGATGGACCGGTTTAACAATTCATTTTTTTAATGGCCTCTGTATCATCCAATTGCGAACATAAAGAGTCCTCAAAAACAAATCTAGTTTTGAGCATTGTTCGGATTAGAAAAAAAGAAAATAAAATAAAAGGGGAAAGAAAGGCTGTATAAGAATGTTAGAAATAGTCTTGCTGGAGCGGGCCAAAGGGCCAGCATCCTGTTGTCTCACTGGCCAACCTGATGTCTGGGAAACCCATAAGCAGGACCTGAGTTATCGCATGCTGGCACTGGAAACTCCGCATGGCTCTAGGCATTCTGCAGAGCATGAGACTGAGTCACCAGGCCTATTTTTATGGTGTAGGTGTGTTGCCTGCAGGGAAGGCTGTAGCTCAGTGAATCATAGCTCATCTGCTTTGCATGCAGGAAGGCCCAGGTCAAATCCCCAGCATCCTCAGCACTGGGAACATTGGTTGTCTGAAACCCTGGAGATCTGCTGTCAATCAGTATAGACTGAGCTATATGCACCAATGGTTCTGTCTTGTTATAAGGCCACTGCATAATATAAGGCAACTTCTTCCTGAGCCAGCAAGCAGGACCTGGTTTTTGCTCCCTTGACAACTGGTATGCAGGGGCATACTGCCTATGATAATGAGTGTAGTATGCAGGTATCACGATTGTCAAGGCCCTTGACAAGCCTTATGCTTCATGTGTTTTTCCAACTTCCCTTTTAAGCCGTCGAAGCGGGTGGCCATCACTGCGTCTTGCAGGAAATTCAGTTCAATGGTGAATAGTGAAGGAGAATAGCTTTCCCCCCTGGGTTGCTTCAGGTATCCGTACTTTGATTGAAATAGGCTAGAGTTTGGAAGACTGTAGAGACTTAAGTGGAACCATAGAATTTTGGTATTGGAGGGGATCCCAAGGGTCATTGGTCCAGCCCCCTGCAGTGCCAGAATATCAACTAATGCATACATAACAGATGGCCATCTAATCTCTGCTTAAAAGCCTCAATCAAAGGAAGGAGAGTCCAGCACCTTCTGAGGGAATCCATTCCACTGTTGAACAGCTCTTGCCATCAGAAAGTTCTTCCTGATATTTAGTCACAATCTCCTTTCCGTAGCATGATACCATTTGTTTGGGTCCTACCCAAACTTGATTTTTTTCTTTCTTAGGGAGCTTATACACCTAATCCAAAAGAAGTGAGTATGAATACACACTGAAGGAGGCAGATTATGTACACCCATACATCTGTGTAGGTCAGAGCTGCTGTGCTAGGCTCTCCACAGGTGGGCCGCTGTTGTTTATCACAAGGGAGAGACTGCAAGAAGGTTGGTGTTGTGCTGGTTCACCAATAAAAGCTCCAGATTGTCTCTGCGTGGTGCATTTGCACTGCACTGTTCCCTTCTTTTCCTTCACTTAGTTTTATATATCCTTTCCATCCTGTAGGTCTGGGAAGGACTGCCAGCCTGCCAATGTGAAGATGCAGGCTGCAAGAATTGCAAAGCGCTTGGGGTGTCTTGCCTATATGGGGCCTTCAGAATGTCAGACATTCTTACACAGCCTTGACCAGGCTTCCTCAACCTCAGTCCTCCAGATGTTTTTGGCCTACAATTCCCATGATCCCTAGCCAGCAGGACCAGTGGTCAGGGATGATGGGAATTGTAGTCCCAAAACATCTGGAGGGCCGAGTTTGAGGAAGCCTGGCTTTGACCAAAAAAACAAATATAAAAATGAAGTTGCCAGCTAGTGACTGTTTACAGCCTGTGTTACCATTGTGCTGTGGTTTCCCTCCCTTCTCAGTCTCCTTATGTGGATTGCAGGAGAGTTGGGTGGTTTACTTACTCTGTGTGTGTGTGTTGCTTTTTCCTGCAGGTCTTTCCAATGGCCCTGAAGCAGTGGAAACAGACAGCCTTCAGGAAGCGCCTCTCTGTAGCTGCCGAATGGAAACTCCCAAAAGCCGGGAGATCACCACACTAGCCAATAACCAGTGCATGGCAACCGAGAGTGTGGACAAGGAGGTGGCGTCACCCTTCTCTTTTTCTGTTGATCATTGTAGTTGGCACTTGGCACCCTCCATTGGAGCGTCATCTCTGCTTGGCAAGGGACCTGGTTGGCATGCCCTATAAAAGGCACATGCTAATCTCCTCCCCTTCCTCAAAATAACTGGTGCTTGCTACACACAGACTTGAAAACAGTCCATACATGGGGCTTCTTCCTTGCTCAGGTTCTGA